TGTATTCTTTTTAATTTACCAGAAACTTCAAAATAAATTCTCACCCTGCACTGAAACCTGTTTCAGGGTCGTGAGGAGCATGACGTCAATTTGAACACCGCCCACTGGAACCGGTACTGAAAGCATAATGGAAACAAAATGTGTACTGTACCAAACCGAGTATAACCACGCTGTACTGGTACTAAAGGTACTAATGGAAAAGGGGAAAATGTGTCATATCTAGGGCTGAGTACCGAACCGAGGTTCTTAAATGGCACCGACCGAACCGCACCGGTTGGTGTATGTATTGAAACGTCACTCTTTTTTGGTGTCAAGTTTCAGTATTGGCTGTAAGGTGTCACGTGGTTTCAGCATGCCGGCAGGTAAAACACCAGACATATGACAAACAGACTACGTGTTTACACCCAGAGCTGTACAGAGCTGCCACACCTAATCTATCTATAATGCATGTCTATGATGCTGGTGACGCCCACAGCGTTAGTCAGTCTGTGTGTGTTAAACGGATTGAATCAACATTCCACGGCCGGATTTGTCTTCATCAAAGAACTCCCGAGGATGGCTCTGTGTCTGTGATTCAGCTGGTGAGTTTACGTTTGTTAACGTTTCTGTAGCTTAACACGTACATCGCGGTGAAATAACGCTAACTTTAAGATATTAGTGTGTAAATTTATTTTATCTACGTGGCTAGCTAAACTCAGAAGCTAACTAAAGATTGACAGTAACATAAATCTTAGCCTGTAAAACTGCTCATCCATCCAGTCAACTGCTTAAATAGTTCACCTGATGTTCACTGTTTATCTTCTCCTCACAGGAGGTTCTGACCCTGATGTGAGGACAGAGACAAAAGAAAAGTGAGGGGGGGCAACAGGACAGTTAGGGAGATGATCAGAGCCCTAAACCCCAGAGAACCACAGAGAAGATTCAGGCAGAGACACAGAGGTGCAGAAGTCTGCATCAACCCTACCTGAGTGAATCCAGTGACCTGCTGGTGGGATGTGAGGGACAACATGTCAAACTGACAACCAGGTATCTGTGTGTGCAACAAGCATCATCTACAGCCTCAGAGTGAACATGTTCTACTGCTGGAGACACCGTCAGCCAGGAGCAGCTTGTTTGTGTCCAGAAAAAACAGACATGTTGATGTTTCTGAAGAAAAACTGTTCAGTGAAAAAAGTTTCTCAGTGTGTAGCAGTGAACACTAGACACTGACGTGTCACTGGTTTGAAACTGGTCTTTTGAACTGGAAATTATTTGTTTATTTTTATGTAAGAAAACTGCTTGGAATAGAAAACTACCAAAGTTAAAAAATAAAATTCACAATATGTACTGTAATGTGTAATGTAATTTTATTCTTGTTAGAATTAATAGTAATTACAAAATTGGTACCGAAGAAAGAACCGTCCAGGAACAGACACCGAAGTGAAGGTACCAACACTTGTACCGATTTTTTTAGAAAGGTACCCAGCCCTAGTCATATCCCGGAAATTCACCCCCACCCTCTCCCTCCCCCAGATTTTGAAGTCAACAACTTTCTGAATGTTCATCTTACGTCGTGATGATGTCATTGAAATAATAAGCTGTTTAAACCTTTGAAAAGCTTTTTTGAACTTCTTTCTCCAAGTCTTTACATTTCAGTTGAAGGTATTTGTACTCAAACCTGTGACCCACATCTTCAATCTCTCCATAAGACAAAACTCCATCCAGACACTTGAAAACAGCCTTTGTTCTTCTTTGCTGAAGGGAGGTGACCCCCCCTCACTGAACAACTATCGACCAATCTCTAAACTCTGCATTTTAGCCAAGGTTCTAGAAAAACTGATAAACTCTCAAATCAAAGATTACCTGGACTCATTTAACATCTTACCTCCACATCAATCTGGTTTCAGGAAACAACACAGCACAACCACTGCTTCACTGAAGGTTCTTAATGATGTTGTTGAAGCACTGGATGCTAAGGATTATTGTGCTGCACTTTTCTTAGACCTGTCTAAAGATTCTGACACTGTGGATCAGAACATCTTGTGTCATAAGATCTCAGAAACTGGTTTCTCAGATCATACCATTGGTTGGTTCTCCAACTATCTCTCAGATCGGAGGCAATGTGTTCAACATAATGGTACTTCCTCCAGTTATTTAACGGTTAACAATGGTGTACCTCATGGCTCAGTCTTGGGTTTTTAGTATTCTACATCGCTTTACAACCTAGCTGTTTTTATTTTGTTTTTTTTTAATACCATTTTCTTTCATTTATTATTATCAACTTATTTGCTTTCTTTTATGATTGTCCACTGTTGTCATTATTCTTTCGTAAATCAGGTCTCTCTTACAAATGAGTCCCCGAGTCTCAATGGGATTAACATGTAGAAATAACGGTTGAATGAATGTTAGGGTGCATTCACACTATCCCTATTTAGTCGCTTTAATGGAACTCTAGCTCATTTTCCTAGAAAGTCCGGTTCGTTTAGGGAGGTGTGAACGCGCCAGCGAACTCTGTCACGGAACAAAAAGGCGAACCCTGGCCCGGGCTAAAACCTAGGTCTGGGTCCGGTAGAAGAGAACTCCAGCGTGGTTCCAGTACAGTGTGAATGTAAACAGACCAGACCCGCTCCGCAGGACAAACAAACAAAAAATAAAAATAATGTACCAAGCAGAGAACTCAACAAATAAAAATGTTTAAAGGCGTTATTATCCACTGGACGACGTCCTCCAGAAGTTCAGTCTGTGTGGTCGAGGTAACGAGCTCGTTTGGGTGAAGCATGATGTCGTGCATCTTCCCAGACTTCAGAGCATCATTTACAGACTGGACCATTGCAGGTCTGGTGTTCCACCTCATCTCTCCACAGCTGGACCAGTCCAGAGCCTTGTGGAACCTAAAAGTGAAAGAAGACGTGCACGAGTCAAAATAGTGTTACAGTGACTACAAGTTACAATCTGTTGGTCTTTCTTTTGGAAAAAATATTTGATCAAAAACAAGAGATTTACAATTGAAACTAAGTCAAGAAAATGTGACCTTTGCAATTATAAATTACAGAAGCTCAATTTTTCTTTATTTCACTTATTATATTTTATAATTATTTAATGAGCCTCACCAGGCAGAGATTACAAGATGTTATGTATCTTACCTGCTCTGTTGAAGTGTGTGACAAGGGTCTTTGTGTCCAAAGCTGTTTAACAGTTTGCTTCCAGAGCTAACAGCTTCCTGTGTTAGGTAGAAAAATTAAATTTAATTAAAGACAAACAAAAAACTTAGTGCTACTTCTTGCGCCATGCTTTATAAAACAGTTATTGAATAAAGTATTTACTTATGTAGGTAAACATAGATGTTTTAAAACCTGTTAAAATACACCAGAATGCAGGAAATAGCAGCTACTTTATTTAAAAAGTTATGGGGGAGGACCCACAGACCTCGCACCAATATGTCCCCCCTACAATAACAGTTATTATAATTTATATGTAACCAGACTTTCATATAAAAACTGGGATATTTTTACCGGAGAATGCGTGCACTTTAACCAGGAAGAGTTCGGTTGTTTTTTACTTTACAAACAGCAACAGATAATGAAGATTTTAACCTAAAAACCCACATAACAAAGCAGAGCATCATTTTTAAATGAAAAGGGACAAGGTGGAGAACAATGTGCTGTTTGAGTTCATTTACTGACGGTAAACAAAGCAGCTCCTCACAGCTGAGACTAAAGTTTAAAGCAGCACAGCACCAACACAACTCTCATGAAGTTCAGGTTATTTGACACTTTCCTGCTCGTTCTGTGACTTTAATAGACAGACACTTACTTCTTACCTTGCGTTGCAAACTATTTTCAGACTCGGTTCCACTTCGCTCGCTGCTCCTCCCCCTCTCGGTGAAAAGCTACTGCTCGAAAACTTGACTCCTGGGAAATGTAGTTCTTTTGACTTGTGTTAAAGTGAAGGCTTACTGAAAGAAAACTACAAAATAGCTGCGCCCGCATTTTTTTTTTGTTTGTTTCATTTTCATTTTTGGTTATTGATCGGTTCCCGCTCCTGTCTGCTCCCGTTAGCTTTCAGTCCGGTCACGTCCCGGTCACGTGAGTTATAATGAGGTTGACTCCGGTCCCGCTGGAATCAGGTCGGAATCACGTGACCCGCGGTACTCCCGAAAAAATGTCATCCTCTAATTCACACTGCACTGTGCAGTCGAGCCAACCTGTTGAACCAACCTGTTCCCCCGCTCACCTGTGGGGGCGCTGCACCAAGAACTACTGAAAGAAACGACACAAAAACCTCTGAAGACACTTCTTCTGTAAATAAAAACAAAAACGGAGTGGCATCAAGTTTTAGCAGTTTTAGGAGTTATATTTTGTCATTTTTCAACCATGGACTCAGCATGAGCAGAAGATGAGACAGAAGACCATGGAGAATATTGTTCTTCACACAAGGCAGCTGACGGCTCCATATAAGAGAAATGTGTGTTTGTCCTGCTCTGTACTCCACTTCCTGCTTGTGGAGCGGGTCCGGTCTGTTTACATTCACACTGTACTGGAACCGCGCTGGAGTTCTCTTCTACCGGACAGAGACCTAGGTTTTAGACGAGGCCAGAGTTCACCTTTTTGTTCCGTGACAGAGTTCGATGGCGCGTTCACACCTCCCCAAACGAACCGGACTTTCATGGAAAACAAGCTAGAGTTGGATTAAAGCGACTAAACAGGGCTGGTGTGAATGCACCCTTAATTGTCCCTAGGTGTCCCTGTGATGGACTGAGACGTGTCCAGTTGTCTCTGTGATGGATTGAGACTTGTCCAGGTGTCAGGGTGTCCCCCCACCTCTCACACAGTGATGACTGGATATGATCACCAGTGACCCCCGCAATCCAAAAAGAAGCGAGTAAAGATAATGGGTGGATAATAATAATAATAATAACTCTTATTTATAATGCACTTTACATTCACAATAGATCTCAAAGTGCCAGTGGATGGATAAATGGATGGATGAATGGTTGGATGGATGGATGCATGGATGGACTCAGTTGAACTCTTACAGATTTAAACATTAAACCAAACCCTGTGTTCTGTTTTGGACGTCTCACAGAACTCAGCATGTGGTCGTTCTTGTTGCTGTTTTTAGGTGCTTTATAAATAAAGTGCTTTGGTAAATAGAAACATGTAAAACTCGACATTTAGGACTCACTTTGAGTTTACTGTCGATCCCGGGCGTGTTCTGGATCTCCCACATGCCCTCAGCGAAGCCTCTGATGCGCACGCCGCTGCCGTACCTCAGCTTGTTCCCGGCGAACGGAACCACGTTCTCCGGCGGGACGGCGCCTCTGAGGAGAGAGGGAACACAGTTGGTCAAAGAGGACGGGAACGTGTCGCCGCTGATCGCTGGATCAAAGTACGCACATCTGATGGGTCCCGAAAAAGTAGACCGGCACTCGCTTCTTGTAGCCCTCCTTGGATTTACAGACCTGCAAGCACACAGAGGTTTTTATAAATGCTGGTTGGAGAGCAGCAATAAGATCATGTGTTTGTTTGTTTGTTTGTTTACCCTGGCCGGCCAGTGAGCAAAGCCCTTCATCTTGGCAAACACCAGGTCGCCTGGCTTGAACTGATCACTGGTTTTCCCTGCCATCCTTCTCCACAGCTCGCACGGCGGACCTCAAACACTGAGAGCAGAAGACAGATCCTCACAGGTTCACCACCACCGTCAAACAGTCTGAACTCAGGCAGGGCATCCAGTGGTACATGAGGTATTTTACTAACAGAGGCAGACAGAGTTGACTACAACGGTTCAAACTATACACTGGGGAAACTCTCAGCAACTACCACCCAAAGTTTTAGCTCAATGTGAGTAAATATGACTGAACTTATATTTGGTATATATTAATCTGTACTGTAACAGGCCTGTTAGTCCGCCTCTAAAAAGTTCACCTCCACTTATTATTCTAAATCAGAAGCACCTGTTTGAGGTGGTTAGCTTCATAAAGACACCGGTCCACCCCACACAACCAGTAAGACTCCAACTACTAACATGGCTAAGACCAAAGAGCTGTCCAAAGACACCAGAGACAACATTGTAGACCTCCACAAGGCTGGAAAGAGCTACGGGGCAACTGCCAAGCAGCTTGGTGAAAAAAGATCAACTGTTGGAGCAACTATTAGAAAATGGAAGATGGTAAACATGACTGTCAGTCTCCCTTGGACTGGGGCTCCATGCAAGATCGATCGATCGGTATGTATACCATATATACATACTAAAATAAACTACTACTACTTGTACTACTATTCATACTTGGTGGTCTTTCCACTTATTGCAGGGCTTCAGGGTACGGATCCCCGAGATAAACGAAGGACTACTGTAGTGAACTCTTGACAATAACATTGCCATTGGCAAGAACCAATGCAGACATGCTCCTGTTTTTAGTTTTCTACATCGCCTTACAAGCTAGATGTTTTTTCCACTACTTTTTTTGTTGCCATCTTATTTTAATTTGTAAAAAAAAAAAAAAAATTGTATGCCTCTTTTATGACTGTCTATTGTTGCTGCTGTTGTCATCACTCTTTGTTTAAACTGTTAATATTGTAAATGGATTTAATCATCACTTTGTGAACGTTGGATCAAGTCTTGCAGCTAAAATACCAAAAGTAGACAATAATGTGAACCATTCAGTTATAAGTTGTGACAACAGTATTTTTCTTAATGGAACTGACAAAGAAGAAATAATGAATGTTGTAAAAAATCTTACAGATAAGAGATCAAAAGACTGGGTGGACATGGATATGATGTTTGTAAAGGACATAATGAGTTATGTTATCGAGCCGTTTACATATATTTGTAATTTATCATTTTCAAAAGGAATATTTCCAGACAATATGAAAGTAGCTAAGGTAGTTCCTCTCTTTAAAAATGGTGATAAATGTGTGTTCAATAATTATAGACAATATCCTTATTACCACAGTTCTCAAAAATTCTAGAAAAACTATTTGTGACCAGATTAGATAAATTTATTACTAAACAAAACATTCTAAGTAGCAGTCAGTATGGGTTTAGAGCAAAAAACTCTACATCAGTGGCTCTCATGGAAATAATAGAACAAATAACTACTGCTGTCGATCAAAAACAGTATTGTGTTAGTATTTTTGTTGATTTAAAAAAAGCATTCGATACTATTGACCACACTATTCTCCTTGAAAAATTAAATAAATATGGTATAAGAGGACCAGCATTACACTGGGTATCTAGCTATTTAAAAGATAGGAAACAGTTTGTACAAATAAATGGTGTAAGATCTGACCTGTGCAATATCACTTGTGGAGTTCCTCAAGGCTCTGTACTTGGACCAAAGTTATTTATTTTATATGTGAATGACTTAGTGAATGTATCAGGACTCCTCAAATGTGTCCTTTTTGCAGATGACGCCACATTTTTTTGTTTGGGTAAAGATGTAAAACGGATGTTGGAATTGATGAAGACAGAATTTGATAAAATACAAACTTGGTTTAAACTTAATAAATTATCATTAAATTTAGATAAAACTAAATACATGATATTTAGTAACAAAAAGAGAACTGTTGATGATCCATTTAAAATTGAGGGTGTTGAGATTTGTAGAGTTAATGAGATGAAATTTTTGGGTGTAATCATTGATGAACCGCTAACATGGAAAAATCACATCAATTCTGTAAGAACAAAAATATCTAAATCTATTGCAGTACTATACAAAGTCAGGGAATTATTAAATGATAAAGCTCTGTACATGTTGTATAACACAATCATTGTTCCACATTTAATCTATTGCATTGATGTTTGGGGGAAAGCATGTAAAACATTTACAAAACCTATTTTTATTTTACAGAAAAGAGCTGTAAGAATCATCACCAGAAAGCATTACAGTCACCCATCAAGCACATTATTTTATCAACTGAATAGAATTCAACTTTATTGTCATTGCACATGTCACAGGTACAAAGCAACGAAATGCAGTTTGCATCTATCCAGAAGTGCTTAGCAAGAAAAATAAATTGGTAGATATATATAGTACAATATACAGTAAGTTGCTTTGAATATGCTATAGGTATAAATATATACAGGTTGTGAGTGTACAGACTATGAACAGGTTATAATATGAAGGGGTATAAACAGCTATATAAAAGAAAAAAATATATATAAGTATGTGAGTACTTATGAACAGTAGATAGTAGATTATGTGTACAGTAGTGGGCTAACGGATGAAAGTGCAGGTTGTGGTGTTACAGTCCATGTGCTGCTGTGTGTATGAGAATACAGACTGTTGTTGTTCAGATGTCAGGAGGCAGAGTTCAGGAGTTATTGAACTTATTGAAGTTCCATGATTTGGTAGATTATAGTATTTTATCAGTTATGTATAGGGCTCAAAATAACACATTACCATTAAATATCCAAAGAAATGTTGTTAAAAGACAAAGTTGTTATAATCTTAAGGGGATAGAGATATTTGTCAAACCAACATTCAGAACTAGTCTGAAGGGAAGGTCTACCTCAATCCAAGGAGTTGGACTGTGGAATGTTCTAGAGAGTGATGTGAAAAATGACAAGTCTCATTGGGACTAACCTGTAGAAATAAAAGTTGAATGAACAGCACCAAGCCACAGCATGTGACACCTAAAATGACTAATATTAGTTGTGACAGCTAATGTGTTTATTGCTGCTGCGCTATGTGGCTGTGTCATGCATGTTCAACTTACCTTCACAATTCATCTCAACGTTCCTCACTACCTGTGCAATAACCTGTCACACACACATCCTGTGTACTTTATGTTAGTTAGGTGCAATGCATTTCATGTACATTTTAGCTTCTATTACTGCCTGTAAAATACTTGTATTAATTCATCCTACTTGCACGGTTATTTTCTGCCATGTTTACAATCTAGCTGCTTTTGTTTTGTTTTTTTAATCCATTTTCTTTCATTTATTCTTCTCACTTTGTATGCTTTCTTTTAAGATTGTATTTTTTTCATTCAACCTTTATTTCTAGAGTTAGTCCCGTTGAGCCTCGAGGACTCATTTACAAGAGACACCTGGTTTTAACAAAGAATGAAGACAACAGTGGACAACAACGATAACAAAATACAGTCATAAAACAGGCATACAAATTTAAGTTTGTCTTTTTTTAACAAATCGAAACAAAATAGCCGCCAAAAGGACAATAAAGAGGAATAGCAGCAAAAACAGTTAGGTCACAAGGCGAGTTAGAAAACTAAAACCAGGAACACGTCTGCATTGGTTGTTGTCAGGTACTCAACAGGGTTTTAAAGTCACTTAGGGAGGTCAACTGTTTGTGTCTTTGTTGTCCACTGTTGTCTTCTTCTTCTTTTGGCTTTTCTCTCTTCAGGGATCACCACTGCAAGTCCTCCTCCATCTCACCCTGTCCTCTGTGTCCTCTGTCCTCACTCCAACCACCTCCATGTCTTCTCTAACTGCATTCATATGTCTCCTCTGTGTCTTTTTCCTGGCAGCTGCATTTCTAACATCCTTCTACCAATATACCCACTGTCCCTCCTCTGGACATGTCCAAACCACTGTCCCTCCTCTGG